GATGGTTGCAAGGTCGACCAGCCTCTCCTGTGTCATTGTGGAGCATAGATGTGTTTTTATTAACTTCAGCTTGGAGAAGCTGCGTTCTCCACTGGCAACTGTTACAGGAAGGGTTAGAAGTATGGGCAGAGCAACAAAAGCATTTGGAAAGAGGTGGTCATTTTATTTTTGCACATATATTCCAGATCAGACTTTGGAGTTGATCCTGTTGAAATGTATCTTGAAAGGGCTTTCAGTTCATCACCTAAATCACTTGCATCAATATCGTGCATGTCATCATGTGTCAACACTGTCTCTAGTGCCCTGCATTGCTGGTGTAGGTCTTCTTCAGGTATAGTGAGGAGTTCAGGAATATCATACAACATCCCAAATATACTGCTGTGTTCCTTGAGCAGCATGAAACGTTCTTCAACTGACTGTATTGCACAATCCAGCACCTGGTTAAAAAATACAATTTTGAATTGTTGTTTGGGGTCTCTTACGGGATTATCCCGTGCCTCGTAATCAAAATGTCTTCTTCTTTGGTGACTCTTGTATTCTTGAATGTGTGGGAAAATAGCTTCAGTGTGATGTTCCTCTGCCAATTTCTGTGCACTCTTCAGAACATTTTGAAATCCCTCATCTAACCGGTAAGACTGTAGGTATGACTTTGCTTTGTCCAGTTGTTCCATTGCTCCAGATATATCAAGGTCAATACTTTGAAGTCTCTTGCTTACAACATTTATTTCAAACAGTATGTCATGCCACAACACTAAGCCACACAGATATTTGAAGTTATGTATGTTTCTGGTGATTCCATTTCCCTCTGCCACTGTTCTCCCACGAACAGTTCCTGTCATAGCATTATCCTCCATAATGGCAACTAGGGCATCATCTATCTTCCCAATTTGGTGTTTGATAGGCTTTATCGCCTCCACTCGACTTTCCCATCGTGTGGCACTCAGTGGGTTCAGTGTCAGAGAGGATGTTCCCAGATGTTGCTTCAAAATTTGCCATCGATGAGTTGATGCCGAGAAAAATACATAGATGCTTTGAATTACATTAAAAAATCCAGCAGGCTCACTAGAAGCTGATGCTGCATCACTGACCACCAAGTTCAGTGAATGAGAACTGCATGGGACAAAAAAAGCTCGAGGGTTTAACTCTCGGATCAGTGTCTGCGCTCCTCTGTTCTTTCCTCTCATGTTGGCACCATTATCGGAGCCCTGACCTCTCATGTGAGCTATCGCAATTCCCGTATCTTCCAGCTTTTTAAGAAGCACATTTGTCATACCGGCACGGCCAGCTCTAACGTTTTTGCCACCCCAAGCAGCAAAAAAAAGCACCGCCCTGCCGTAACACCCCCCCCCGTGCCACCCCGCGCCGCCGAAACCCCCCCCCCCCCACCGCCGTCCCGGCTGCGCTGTCCCCTGCCAGCTAAGATTGGCTGCCCCTTACCAGGAGCCGCCCCAAGCACGTGCTTGGTTGGCTGGCGCCTGGATACAGCCCTGCATACCAGCTCCTGTAGTATCATCAATGTCAATAAATTCCAGAAAATGCTCTCTGACAGTCACCATTGCAGGGACATTTTTACTAGGTTCTGTTGTTGTTACAAAACGTACCATTAAAGTCATTTGTTCTGTATGGCTGATGTCAGGTGTGCAGTCCAGAATAACATCTTGCTGACTTCAGATGTGCCACAATCTTCTGTTTGACTTTTGTTGCCAGTAACTGTATGATCTCATTTTGAATTGTTTTTCCAAGGTAGTGGTGTGTGTACATTTCATGGGTGGTGGCTCTTCTTAGATGCTCCTGGAGTACAGCATCAAACTCAGCCATCAGCTCCACAATTTTAAGGAAGTTTCCATTGTTTGGCACATACAGCTGATCTGAAGTGCCATGCAGTGGTAGGTTTTGGGTAGCCAGCATTCTCACATTGGCAATGAGCCTTTTCAGAACATTTTGCCAGTAAAGAGACTCTGATGCAATCTTCTCTTGATGCTGATCATCTATGGTGGCCTTTATCCTTAGTCTCATCTCAAGCTCTTTCCCCCTATAAATTAAATAAATAAATTAATGGAGATATCCTATCTCCTAGAACTGGAAGGGACCTTGCAAGGTCATCGAGTCCAGCCCCCTGCCTTCACTAGCAGGACCAAGTACTGATTTTTGCCCCAGATCCCTAAGTGGCCCCCTCAAGGATTGAACTCACAATCCTGGGTTTAGCAAGCCAATGCTCAAACCACTGAGCTATCCCTCCCCCCTATGGAATACTCTCTGGTGATTTGCTGCCTTCTCATGGCCTGCCAGATTTCTAGCCAGATTTTTCCAGTCCTTTGTTCCTGTAGAACCCAATGTGGCTGGAACATTAGACTGGAAGAATTTGCAACAAAAACAGTATGTAGCATTCTGGGTTTTTGAGTACTTTAAGCCATGGCCTCTCCACTTTGTCACCATTGGGGATTTCACACCAGTAATGTGTTGGATGGAAACTTCTATTTTCATTGTCTTTGAGGAACATGAAGTTTTTCACTTGCTGTGGCCCATGCAGTACAAGGAAGTCCCTCAGGCTACTGCTCATGTGGATCAACAGTCCTGGATCATCTAGACTTAAGGAACTAAACTCAGCAGCAGCTGTTTCTTGCGCCTCCACCACACTCTTCTCTGATCTACACTTTTCTTCAGGAATGGGCATGGTTACACCCATTGGAGATGGAGATATGGATGCTGCAGTAACTGCCAGGTCACCTGCACTCTGACTAACTGGAAGATCAGGCATCTCCTCACCACTCCCATCCTCACTGGGGCCGGAAGGCTCACCATGAACATTTGTGTCTATGTATCTCAGGAGATATAGTCCCATGCAGGGCTCTACCCTGGAGTTCTACTCTGTTATTCTAGGCATGTTTGTGGCATGAAAGAGCTGAGAGAAATGCATGGTCTCAAGTATCAGGGGGTAGCCGTGTTAGTCTGTATCCACAAAAACAACGAGGAGTCCGGTGGCACCTTAAAGATTAACAGATTTATTTGGCCATCAGCTTTCGTGGGTAAAACAAAAGCTGATGCCCAAATAAATCTGTTAGTCTTTAAGGTGCCACCGGACTCCTCGTTGTTTCTGAGAGAAATGTTTTCACCAAAACTTTTCTCCACCTAAAAATGCAGGTTTGCGGCAACTGAAACATTTCACGAATTTCTGTCAATTTCACCACATTGCTGTAGCAGCAAAAACAAATCCTAGAAAAAAAAAGTCCTGAAAAACGGAAATGTTTTGTCTCCACAATTCCAGAATTAAATGTTTTGATTTTTTCAATTCAAAATGTCATTTCAAAATTGACGGCAACAGTTATATTTAAACCATTTTAAGAATGTTTTTAAATGCCTGAAAACGAACCCAAACCATTTTTTGTTCGGCTTTTCAATCGGATGAGAATTTTGGTTCAACCAAAACTGATTTTTATTTCCTGATCGTTTGGAACTGCCAGTGAAGCAAAAAATTCGTTATTTGTGCAACTCTGATCCTTGGTGCTTTCCCCCCCAGATCTCGTCTGGAATTGCCTTTACATCCTCATTTCGGTCTTGACTCTCTCCTCCTCCCCACCGGCAGAGCTTGCAGTGTCAGCCGTGAGAAGCTCCGTTCAGCCCCGAGCCCAGCCCCGTAAGCCTACCAGCACCAGGATGATTTCCTTCATCCTCTGCCTTCTCCCTGCTCTCCTAGCTACAACGAGTGCACAAGGTGAGTCATCCGCTGCTGTGGCCATGTAACCCCCCCGGACTTGGACACTTTATACCCCACGGATCCCCAGTCAAGGGAACATCCAGCATGTGCAGGGAGGGGGATTAGCTCTGTGTGGGGTACAGGGCCTTGTCTATACTATGGCTATTGAAGCAGTTTAGCCACAGCGCTGTAGCTGGGCCGGCAGAGCCCCGTAGTGAAGACGCCGCCTATCCCAATGGACGGGGTTTTTCCATCCCTGTGGGAACTCCCCTCCCTGAGCCGGTAGCCAGGCCGAGGGAAGCATTCACCCATTGACCTGCATCTACTCCAGGGGTTAGATTGGCTGAGCTGCGGTGCTCAGGGTGTGGACTTTTCAACCCCCCTGAGCACTGTATCTATATCACCCTGGTTAGTGTAGACCAGGCCCGAGAGACACCATTACTGGACACTGCCCTGAATTCTTATTTCCACCAAGGCCCCTCGGCACTGCTTTGGCAGCACAAAGGGGACTCAATATAGGACTAAATTACACTGCTTCAGGACTGAGTGTAACCTGGAATCAGGGCTTTCTAACCGTGCAAACAGAGGCAGAATGGAAATGAGCCTTTCAGAAGATTTTGCCAGTAAAGAGACTCTGATGCAATCTTCTCTTGATCATCTACGGTGGCCTTTAACCTTAGTCTCATCTCAAGCTCTTTCCACCTACGGAATGCTCTCTGGTGATTTGCTGCCTTCTCATGAGCAGAGAGAATACATATGCACCAGCAGCAGATGCAATTTTCTACACTCTGTGTCCTAGTGATGCGTCTGCCTCAGTTTGCCTCATGGTAAGGCCAGCCCTGGCCGGCTGGCAGCCCAGAGAGCCTGGCTGCACTCACATCAGTGGCTTTTCCCTATTTCTATGCAACCCAATCACTTTGGAACCCTACATTCCATTGACTCCAAAATGTCAGGAGATGTTCTAGACATCACTGGGCAGAACCACATTGACTTTGGGGGAAATCAGAAAACAGGAAGAGGGAAATCGGGGACATACCGAGCCCCTTGGCTTCTGGCCAGCCCAGCCACACTTTCAACCACCTCTGTAACTGTGTGTACGTCAAAGAACCGGTTGATGGGACCATTGATATCTTCCCGCCCATCAACCCCCCCAGCCCAGCGCTGCCCAGCGTCCCCATGGAGCGCAACATGTTAAACCCTGAGCAGCTGATCTCCCAGACAGAAAGAAGGATGATGGTGGGGGGGGGGCCTGAATTGGGGGCATACAGCAGCCCTGGCATGTAGGGGGAAGAATGGGGGACCCTGATATGGGGGATGGGGAAATGGGGGGCACACAGAGCCCCTGGCATGAGGTAGGGGGTGGAGGGGGTTGCATGGTATCCTGGAAATAGAAGGGGATGGGAGGGGTACACAAGGAGTTTGGGAGGGCCACGGGGCGGCTGCCAGGAGCCCCAGGCCGTGCAATGGACTCAGCCAATGCACACTGCAACATGAGCCACTCTCCAGTACTGTGAATACCTGCACAACGGGAGCCACATCTGGGGTGGGCGGAGCTTATTTTGTGGGTGGGGCTTGGGAAGAGCACCATCCCCTTCACCTGTCCCCAGTCTGACCCTCCGGGTACCACTGGCCCAGGGGCTGAAAGTGTTCAATTACTGAGTGTCCAGGAGGAAATCGGGTCCGTGAACCCCTCGGCTTGTTTGTAGCAGAGGGGGAAGACTGGGGCTAAGGGACGTGTCAGAGTGACACTGTCACACCCCAGTAAGAAGGAAACACTTGTTCTTCTTTCTCCAGGTGAGACCCTGACATGTAACACGTGCTTTGGCCAAACGGAGACCTGCAGTTTCGCTCCAGGAACCTGCCAAGACAACAAGGCTACTGGTGGCTGCCTCTCCGTGGCAGAAGCTATTACACTGGGTAGGTGACATTGCCGTCAACCCAGGCACATCCTATCCTGCAGTCTGTCACCATCCTCATCGCTAAGGCCAACCCCAAACAGTCCATCGACAAAGCACATTCACCCGGCACAGAACACTCAGTCTGTGCTCGACGCTTCATTTATTCAGGCAACATTACGGTGTCTTACGTAGCGACTGGAAGACTCGGTGGTTCCAAATCCTGGCCCCATTGGACTCAGTTGTAAATCTTCCATTGACTTCAGTGGGGTCAGGATCTCACCCCTTGAGCTTTATCCCCACAATGGACAGGTGCGCTGCAACAAGCGAAGCTGCTTTGGGTGGAAATGCCCGTTCTGAATCGTGTTAAAAAAAAGAAATTGGCGCTGAGATCCCTTGGACACTGCCGGGCTCCCAATGTCCTGTCTGAAGCCGTTAGTCACCTGCTCAGGGCTGGAGCCCTGCCTTACACGGTTCTTCCCCTTGCTTGGGATGCAAATTCAAGATACTTTTTGCCGTTAGACTTAAAGAGATTCCAAACCGTCTCCATGTTCAACTCCCTGAGGTTCTCACGCCAGCGGATCTCGCTAGTTCCCTTCATTTCTCAACGTTTGCCCTTTGGAATCGAAAATCTGAGTTACAGACCTGGCTTTGTTCATCCTTCCACTGAATTACAGAGAATAAATGGCTCCTTCCATTTACCTTGTAAGAAGGATGCATAGCACAGCATCAGCTTTAATGTGGTCTGTCTCTCTCTATCTATCTATCTATCTATCCCCACACCCCCCTCTATCTATCAATCTACCTATCTGCTTATCTATCTATCCCCATCCACCCCCTCTACCTATCTATCTATCTATCTATCTATCCCCACCCACCCCATCTATCTATCTATCTGTCTATCTACCTATCTATCTATCTATCTATCCCCATCCGCCCCCTCTATCTATCTATCTATGTATCTATCTATCTATCCCCACACCCCCCTCTATCTAACTATCTATCTATCTACCTATCTGCTTATCTATCTATCCCCATCCACCCCCTCTATCTATCTATCTATCTATCTATCTATCCCCACCCACCCCCTCTATCTATCTGTCTATCCCCACTCACCTCCTCTATCTATCTATCTATCTATCTATCTATCTATCTATCTATCCCCATCCACCCCCTCTATCTATCTATCTATCTATCTATCTATCTATCTATCTATTCCCATATGTGCACACCTGCCTCTCACCACACTCAGGAAATTTTCCCAGCACAGTCACAAAATGTTTTATTAAAACTTCCAACCGCTCAGGGTATGGCTTCACTGCAGAGTTCATGTGGGCCGTGACCCGAGGTTTAGCCCTAACCCGCCCCCCCACTGCTCCCTACTATCCACACACAAAACCCTTTAACCTCAGGCTAGCTGATGCAATTTGGGGTGTAGTTTAGACCCGGGTTCCTCTTTAATTTCTTGAATTGTGGGCCCCCTAACTAGACACAGGATCCCAGCAGCATCGCCCCAGGGCCAAATATGGAGGTAAAATAACCTCCCTGCTGTTACTCGAGGTTCCCCTCCCAGCCTCTCATTTTCTTTTTTGGTTTTCTGTCTTTAACGAAGATGGGACACAGAACACGTACTTCTACAAACAGTGTCTGAGTAGTTATAAGAGTGACATCGAAGTCCCCATCTCCTTCACTGTTGGGAATGGCCAGTATGTGAGGATCAACACCACACGATGCAACACAGATAACTGTAACTCGGCTCTACCTGGAGGTAAGTTATGAGTCTGTTTTTACCGTCCCTCTTTAATGGCTTGTCGGCATGAACAGTGAGACGGCGCTGAGCTGGGGTGTGAATCCAGCTCTCCGTGTGCCCCCTGCTGATGCACATGACCATTTGGGCGCTTTGGAAGGGGACTAGCACAAAGCACATTAACGAACGGTTCACGTGCATCAGCAGGGTGCACGTGGCCAGCTAGGCCGTGGCAGGCTGGCGCAGGGTCGATTCACACCGTGGTAGATCCTTACACCCCGGCCCCCCTTGCTACAGTCGAATGGTTCATGTGGACAAGCCCCTGGCACAACTGTATTTGTTCCCATTTCTCCCCTTTACTGCCCCCAACGTCCATTCACTCGAATGTCATTTCTGTCTCCACTGAAATGCCTGTCGCTGGCGGGTCTCCGAACCAGGGGGTGGAACAGTCGGGCCCATGTGAAATCAGACGGGCGAGGGCTGCATGCGAGAGAGGGGACAGCAGCCAGGATGGTCTCAAATCTAAACCTCCCTGAACCTGTCAGGCTCCACCTTCAAACTCGCCGGGGTCTGGAATTGATCGATGCGCCGTTCACAGACAGTCGTGTCACAGACAGACGGAGAAATGCCGTTGGGCTGGGGGTGGGGCCTTCACCTGCTCAGGCAATGCAGGGCACATCCACCAGATTGAACGAGGTTTAACCCACCCTGTGACCGTCTCTCTCTCTCTCTCGATTCTCAGTGCCCACAGGGAGCACCACCAAGAACGGGCTGCAGTGCCCAACCTGCTTTGCTCTGAACTTCACTGTCTGCAACAGCGCAATCACCCCTTGTACCGGGGACGAGACCTATTGCATGGATTTCACTGGGTTTCTATACCAAGGTAAATGCTGCCACCTGGCCACAGTGCGGGAGCTACCCTGGGAATCTCACACCCCAGGAACTCCCCAGAGACTGGTGAAAACTAGTCTGTGCTGGGCCCTTGGGCGGGTGGGGGCCGTCATGAGGGGTTTTTGGCCAGGGGGAAGGAGAGAGGAACTTGGAAGTTTTTCCTTCCTCACCAGTTCCCCCCTCTCAGTGATGCCGCCCTGCTCCTGGAGTTATGACAACGCATCTCTTGCCATGGGAAGGGTTGTTATGTCGATGATGCAGAGCTGGGGAGAGAACCCAGGAGTCCTGGCTCCCAGCCCCACTGCTCTAACCACTAGACCCCACCCCCTGTATGTTTAACGTGGCTAAGCTATTGCTCAATGCGGAAGCTGCTGTTCTCAGTGTGTGGCCAGGACTCCCAGAGCTTTGGGGTGTTTATACAATAACTGAACCGAGCGGTTGGGGCTGCCGGGGACGGTGAGAGCCGGGCGTGTTCCCCGGGGGTGCCGCGCGCTGGGGAAGGAGCCGCCCCCCGGCAATCAGCTGGTTCCAAACTCCAGCTTCAGTCTCTTGTGGAGCTGCAGAAAGGGGCGCGGGGGAGACGAGAGGGGACCAGACGCCCGCCCTGCCCTGGCCGGTTACAGCGAGAGCAGGGAGAGCACCGGGCGGGTGGGAACGGGAGGCAGAGGTGGGAACCGCTGGATGGTGAAGACAGAAGTTCTGGGGGCAGAGAAGGAACCAGAGCTGCCTGGTTGATTAACAGGCTGATTTCCTCCATCAGGTCCATCTTTTTCACCATTTCAAGCAAAAGGCTGCGCTACTGCGTCTGCTCAGGCCATTAAACCTGGAACCAAGCTGGCTACTGCACTCTACACATTTGACTTTTTTTGGGGGTCCTCTGTTCCGGCGGAGAAAATACCCATGAACCCCCCACCCACAACCGCTGCCTCTCTAGAAACAACGACCACAACCCCCAATACAATCACCATCCCCGCAAGAACCACCCCGCCCAAAACAACTACCACAAAGAAAACAACCACCATCCCCAAAACAACGCCCACCCCCAAAACAACCCCCACCACCACCCCCTCAACAACCACCACCCCCAAAACAACCCCCACCACCACCCCTGCTACAACCCCCACCACCTCCACCACAACCACCACCACCACCCCCTCAACAACCACCATCCCCAAAACAACACTCACCCCTACAACCACCACCACCCGTGCTACAACCACCACCACCACCACAACCTCTGCTACAACCAGCACCACCACCACAACCACCACCACCACCCCCTTAAGAACCACCCCGCCCAAAACTACCACAAAGAAAACAACCACCATCCCCCAAACAACTCCCACCCCTACAACCACCCTCACCACCACCCACTCAACAACCACCACCCCCAAAACAACCACCACCACCACCACCCCTGCTACAACCCCCACCACCCCCACCACAACCACCACCACCACCCCCTCAACAACTACCATCCCCAAAACAACGCCCACCCCTACAACCACCACCACCCATGCTACAACCAACACCACCCCTGAAACAACCAGGACCCCCAAAACAACCACCACCACTCCCGCTATAACTGACACCACCACCAACAGAACCACCGCCGCCACCCCCACTACAACCACCACCCCCAACACAACCACCACCACCACCTCTGCTACAACCACCACCCCCACCACCCCCTCAAGAACCACCCCGCCCAAAACTACCACAAACAAAACAACCACCATCCCCACAACAACGCCCACCCCTACAACCACCACCAACACCACCCTCTCAACAACCACCACCCCCAAAACAACCCCCACCACTACCCCTGCTACAACCACCACCACCCGTGCCCCCAACACAACCACCACCACCCCCTCAAGAACCACCACCCCTAAAACAGCTACCACAAACAAAACAACCACCATCCCCAAAACAACACACACGCCTACAACCACCTCCACCCACAAACCCACTACCCCACCTAAAACAAACACCCCACCCAAACCCACCCTCTTCGCCCAAACAACCCACAGTGGAGCCAGCCCGGCTCTGGGGAAATTCTCCTTTGCCCTCTACCTGCCTGGCCTGACTGGGCTGCTGCTGGTGAAGCTGCTCTCCTGACCCCGCCCGGCACGGCCCACGCAGCACCTGGTGCCTGTGAATAAAGGACTCAAGTCCCAGCTGCCCCCCCCTCCGAGGCCCCTCCACGCTGCCGGGGCGATGCAAAGGGGCCGCTGCATAGCCAAGAGTCTGCACAGCTTATGGGTGTGAGTCTGTCCCGGTACCTCACGGCTGGCTGGAATCTCTCTGTGCATTAGCAAATTCATTGAAAAAATCAGGATCCGAAATAAAAGCCCCCGTTGCTGAGCCCGTCCGCAGGATGAAGTTTAATAAAGACAAATGCAAAGTGCTCCACTTAGGAAGGAACAATCAGTTTCACACATACAGAATGGGAAGAGACTGTCTAGGAAGGAGTACGGCAGAAAGGGATCTAGGGGTTATAGTGGACCACAAGCTAAATATGAGTCAACAGTGTGATGCTTTCGCAAAAAAAGCAAACGTGATTCTGGGATGCATTAACAGGTGTGTTGTGAGCAAGACACGAGAAGTCATTCTTCCGCTCTACTCTGCGCTGGTTAGGCCTCAGCTGGAGTATTGTGTCCAGTTCTGGGCACCGCATTTCAAGAAAGATGTGGAGAAATTGGAGAGGGTCCAGAGAAGAGCAACACGAATGATTAAAGGTCTTGAGAACATGACCTATGAAGGAAGGCTGAAAGAATTGGGTTTGTTTAGTTTGGAAAAGAGAAGACTCAGAGGGGACATGATAGCAGTTTTCAGGTATCTAAAAGGGTGTCATAAGGAGGAGGGAGAAAACTTGTTCACCTTAGCCTCTAAGGATAGAACAAGAAGCAATGGGCTTAAACTGCAGCAAGGGAGGTCTAGGTTGGACATTAGGAAAAAGTTCCTAACTGTCAGGGTGGTAAAACACTGGAATAAATTGCCTAGGGAGGGTGTGGAATCTCCATCTCTGGAGATATTTAAGAGTAGGTTAGAGAAATGTCTATCAGGGATGGTCTAGACAGTATTTGGTCCTGCCATGAGGGTAGGGGACTGGACTCAATGACCTCTTGAGGTCCCTTCCAGCCCTAGAATCTCTGAATCTATGAGACTGGGGCGCTGTCAGATGCATTAGCCACAGAAGAATTTGCTCTGTGTGTGTGTGTGTGTATATATAAATATAAAATCTGCAATAAAAATCTACATTCCAAGCACACCATGGAGGTTGCCCACTCAAGCACTGAGAAGTTAGGAAATTCCAGAACACACGTTGCCAGTACAAGTTTAATACAATCCCCCGGCGCGTTTGCATTGTGCTACAGCCTTTGATTCCACGATCACACACTGTGCGTCTCCACCGCAGCCCTGCCATGGTCAATACGTCTTTTCCTTCTCATTGGGGCATTACTCCAGGCCGTATTTCCCACCCGCCGTTCCTAGCCCGCGCTTCCCTGAATGATTAATGACACTTCCTGGGCCTCTCTGTGGAGTTCTCGCCACAGGATCTGAGGGTCTCACAGACTTCATCACTTGGTCTGTGCAACTTTTTTGAGATGGGGCGACCACATCTGCACACAGTATTCAAGATGTGGGCGTATCATAGATTTATATGGGGTAACATGATATTTTCTGTCTTATTATCTATCCCTTTCCTAATGATTCCCAACATTCTGTTCACTTTTTTGACTGCCACTGCACGTTGAGTGGATGTTTTCAGAGAACTATCCACAATGACTCCAAGATCTTTCTTGAATGGTAACAGCTAATTTAGACCCATCATTTTATATGTAGAGTTGGGATTATGTTTTCCAATGTGCATTACTTTGCATTTATCAACACTGAATTGCATCTGCCATTTTGTTACCCAGTCACCCAGTTTTGTGAGATCCCTTTGTAACACTTCACAGTCATCTTTGGACTTAACTCTCTTGAGTAGTTTTGTATCATCTGCAAATTTTGCCACCTCACTGTTTACCCCCTTTTCCAGATAATTTATAAATATGTTGAATAGGACTGGTCCCAGTTCAGACTCCTATCGGACACCACTATTTACCACTCTCCATTCTGAAAACTGACCATTTATTCCTACCCTTTGCTTCCTATCTTGTAACCAGTTACCGACCCATGAGAGAACCTCTCCTCTTATCCCATGACAGCTGACTTTGCTTAAGAGCCTTTGGTGAGGAAACTTGTCAAAGGCTTTCTGAAAATCTAAGTACACTAGATCCACTGGATCCCCCTTGTCCACATGCTTGTTGATCCCCTCAAAGAATTCTAGTAGATTGGTGAGGCGTGATTTCCCTTTACAAAAACTATGTTGACTCTTCCCCAACAAATTATGTTCATCCATGCGTCTGACATTTCTGTCACACATAGCCGTTGGCGTCTGGCCAGCCCAGCCACACTTTCAACCACCTCTGACTGTGTTCAGATCAAAGAACCAGTTGGTGGTGCCATTGACATAGTCCAGCCCATCAAACCCCCCCAGCCCAGCTCTGCCCAGCGTCCCCATGGACCTTAACATGTTACACCCTGAGTGGCTGATCTCCCAGACAGAAAGAAGGATGATGGGGGGGGGGGAGGAGGAATGGGGGGCACACAGCACCCCTGGCATGGGGAGAAAGGGGGGAACCCTGTGTGGCGGGTGCGGGACTCACCCCTGTGGCGCCTCCTGCTGGTCGTCTCCGGGAATTAGCTCTCCAGCCATCGGAGCGCCCTCTGCAGGCCGGTGTCCCACTTGCTGCTGGCCCCCCATGTCCCTCCCGGACCCCGGTGCCTTTTTACCTGGGGTGCTGCCCCTCCAGGCAATACCCCACAGATCTGGGTCTCCCCTCCCCAGGGAAGCCCCACCCTCTATCCCCACCTTGCCTCAGCCTACCTGCCAGTCACCATCTAGCCCCCTTTCACTGGGGCTGACTGCGGTCTGTATAAGCCACTCATCATAGGCAAGGGAGCTTTTGACCTGCTGCCTTTCCCTGCAACCCAGTACCTCCAGGGGCCTTGTACAAGGCCCTGCAGCCTGGGGAGTTGCTGGCCTGGAGCTCCCCAGCTCCTCTGGCCTTTCCCCAGTCCTGCTCCACTCCAGTACCCTTTAGCAGTCAGGCAGCCACGTCCATCTCCCTCCTCAGCTAGAGGGGGACTGCCGGCTCCTGGCCCACTGCCCTCTTATAAGAGCCAGCTGGGCCCTTATTAAGGCAGCCTCGGCCTGATTGGGACGTGGCCCCCAGCTGAGGCTGCTTTCCCCAATCAGCCCTTCTTTTCCTTCCCTTCCACAGCCCTCTCCCCGGACTGTTTTAACCCTTTTAAGGCAGGAGTGGGTGACCACCCCGCTACACCCTGGTAAAGGGCAGGGGAAATGGGGGGAACACAGAGCCCCTAGTATGAGGCGGGGGGGGATTACATGATGTCTCTGCAATAGAAGCGGATGGGACGGGCACCCGAGGAGTGTGTGAGGGCCATGGGGGGCTGCCAGGAGCCCCGGGCGGCTGTAATGGACTCAGCCAATACAGGCTGCGAAGCGAGCGACTCTCCAGTTCTGTGAATACCTCCACAACGGGAGCCACATCTGCGGTGGGCGGGGCTCATTTTGTGGGCGGGGCTTGGGGAAAACACCATCCCCTTGACCTGTCCCCAATTTGCCCCCTCCCCCCACCTGGTACCGCTGGCCCAGGGGCTGAAATTGTGCAATTGCTGAGTGTCCGGGAGGGAAATGGGTCTATTAACCTCTCGGCTCGTTTGGAGCAGATGGTGCTGGTGGGGGAGGGGCACTATATGTGAGAGACAGCGTAGAGTCAAATGAAGTAAAAATCTTAAATGAACCAAACTGTCCTGCAGAATCTCCATGGATTGTAATTCCATGCTTGGATAATAAGAATATAGCAGGAGGGATATATAACCAACCACCTGGCCAGGATGGTGATAGTGACTGTGAAATGCTCAGGGAGATTAGAGAGGCTATTAAAATAAAAAAACTGAATTATAATTGGGGATTTCAATTATTCCCATATTGACTGGGAACATGTCACCTCAGGACGGGATACAGAGATAAAGTTTCTGACACCATAAATGACTGCTTCTTGGAGCAGCTAGTCCTGGAACCCACCAGAGGAGAGGCAATTCTTGATTTAGTCCTAAGTGGAGCACAGGATCAGGTCCAAGAGGTGAATATGGTTGGACCGCTTGGTAATAGTGACCATAATATAATTAAATTTAACATCCCTGTGGGGGGGAAAACACCACAGCAGCCCAGCACTGTAGCATTTAATTTTAGAAAGGGGAACTTCACAAAAATGAGGAGGTTAGTGAAACAGAAATTAAAAGGTACAGCGCAAAAAGTGAAATCCATTCAAGTTGCAGGGGAACTTTTTATGGACACCATAACACAGGCTCAACTTAAATGTATCCCCCAATTTAAAAAAACACAGTAAGAGAAACAAAAAGAGCCACCGTGGCTAAATAACAAAGTAAAAGAAGTAGTGAGAGGTAAAAAGGCATCCTTTAAAAAGTGGAAGATAAATCCTAATGAGAAAAATAGAAAAGAGCATAAACTCTGGCAAATGAAGTGTAAAAATATAATTAGAAAGACCAAAAAAGAATGTGAAGAACAGCTAGCCAAAGACTCCAAAAGTAATAGCAAATTTTTTTTAAATACATCAGAAGGAGGAAGCTGCTAAACAACCAGTGGGGCCACTGGACGATCGAGATGCTAAAGGGGCACTCAAAGACGATAAGGCCATTGTGGAGAAACTAAATGAATTCTTTGCATCAGTCTTCACAGCTTAGGATGTGAGGGAGATTCCCAAACCTGAGCCATTCTTTTTGGATGACAGATCCGAGGAACTCTCCCAAATTGAGATGTCATTAGAGGAGGTTTTGTAACAAATTGATAAAATAAACAGTAATAAATCACCAGGACCTGGTTTTATTCACCCAAGAGGTCTGAAGGAACTCAAATGTCAAATTGCGGCTATACTACTAACTGTCATCTGTAACCTATCATTTAAATCAGGTTCTGTACCAGATGACAGGAGGATCGCTAATGTGACACCAATTTTTAAAAAAGA